TAAGTGACCCCACTATAGGGGCCATGCTAATGCAAACACATGCAATCATGAATAGGGACCTATCTCTAATCATCCTAGGGGTGACCTCCAGTCTCGGACAAATTGGATGTGTAGTACTTCCCTACACACGACTCACACGTGCGAATGTGAGTCTCCAGGGCGCTCGCACGCCCCCTGGACCCTCTGGTCAAGCTAATCTGTAGCGACGTTCGGAGGTCAGCGGAACCCCATAGTGTCATGCGCCTCATGAACACCCTCATCTGTGTGCTTTCGTACCTGTGCGCATTTGCGCTCATCGTAAGGTGCGCGTCCGCACTCATCATCTCTAGGGGAAGTAGCCCTATGCTTATGAACATACAAAATGCATGAGGTCCCTCTAAATCCATCGTAATGTCTCTTCTGACACAACCCTCTAGTCTCATCTCTTTGTTACTCTAGGTAACGCATACTCGTGGATATTTATATTACTATCATTTTCATGCTCTTAGTTGTGTCTTACGTCGATCTAACGACATGATGCAATATGGCACTCATCATCATCTAGCATGCTCAATATGGAAAACATCATCATATTAAGGTAAAAATCATGCAATCATCATGCTCATCATAATGCCACAACGTGCGTCAAATATATCAAGCATCACTCAACAAAATATGTATATACTGACACATAACATCAAACATCATACAATTTATTTAGCCTATCCTATAGTAAGGCCACTTACTTGGTTGGCCTTGGCCGAAGTACTCCCTAAATCGCTAAACGTAAGCTCCCGTTCCGTGAGAGCTGCTCCCTACGTCCCCGGAGTTTGTTTCCTATCACACCGTCCACCATTTTCCGTTAGTATTTCACAATTAATTTACCTATAATTTAATAAATGTGAAATACGGCTCTGAAACGGCCTCGGATACCTTAATCGGGACCGAAAACAGATTCGGGAGGGTCGAAACAGTGGAAACCGGGCTGAAAACAGGTGAGCCAAGCCGAACAGCCGCTGGAGCCGCCGGAGGAGCCGCCGGAGCGTCGCCGGAGGGAGCCCGAGCCGTTTGCGCCGAGCCGAGCCGAGGGACTGCCTGCGCCGTTGAGTGACACGTGGCAGTAGCAGAGAAAGCCACGTCGGGCGGCAGTGTCGGGTCGAAGCGCGAGTCGCAGCCCAGTTCGGGTCGTGGGCTGTGGAAGGCTACTAAGTCAAGACTAATCGTTGGGCCTCGGCTTACTAGGCTGGGCCGCAGGAGTTTGGTTTGCAGGCCGGCTCAATTGGACCGTGGGTCTGGTCTGGGTTGGTTCAACTGAACCGTAGCTTCTGGGCCGGTTTGAGGTTTGGGCCGCTGAAGTTGGGCTGGGCCGAAGGCAGAGGCCAAGGGAGGAACGGTCTGGCTCTCCCGGGTTCTGGGTTCGGGTTGACTCGGATCCGTGGATCTCGTCTTCCTTACCCGACTTCGGCCGATTTTCCGGCGAGCTTTCTCTCTCTCTCCCGCGGCGTTTCCGTTGCCGATTTCGGTCCTCTTCCTTCCCTTTTCCTCTTTGTTCATCGTCCTTCTTTCTTTTCTGGGAGTTTTGGGGCCTAAAAGCTCCTAAAAGCCATAGATCTAAGAATCGATTAAGAAACTTAATTTTTCCGACCTCGGTTACCGACGACGACGCTTACGAAATAACACAAAACGCACCCTGAGTTATTGTGCTTTCGTTAGGGATCCCTCTTATGGTGGTAACAGGTCGTTTGGTGTTAGTTTGAGGGTGGTTTGAGGGCTCGTCGGAGAAACTGGACACTCGCCGACGTTTGTCCGAAATCTCTCTCTCTCTCCAAATTTTCTCTCTTTTCTCCCTTTGCAGGTGTTCTGAAACTTTGCAGGGTGTTGTGGGCTGAGGGTGGGCGTGCTGTGGCCGTCGTTTCGCGTGGGTTCCGCGAAACTCGGCGGTCGCCGGAAAACTCGCGGGTTTTCCGG